TCTGTGCGCGCGAGTCCTTGTATTATATATTATCTGTCTTGAGGTTTATCTTAAAAGAAATTATTATCCACTTATATATTTTTAAAGAAAACTTCATTTATATATTTTAAAGAAGACTTCATTTATATATTTTTAAAGAAGATTTCATTTATTTTGTTTAAAGAAGACATAGAAGATAAACATACAAAAAGACTTTACATGACGTAGAGTTAAATGAACTTAATATGGGACTTTCCTTGCATGCGTGGTTGCATTAATACAAATGTATTAATGCTTTATTCAAGGTAAAGAAGAAATAGAAAATTAAAAGAAATGTATATATATATATTACATAGGGAAGAGATTAGTAAATATTTTATATAAACTTGTCCGAGTTGTCTTAAACTGATATATATTTTTACATAGGGAAGAAATTTGTAAATGTTTTAAATTAACTTGTCCGAGTTGTCTTAAATTGATATATATTTTTTTTACATAGGGAAGAAATTTGTAAATGTTTTAAATTAACTTGTCCGAGTGCCTTTAAATGATATATATTTTTACATAGGGAAGAAATTTGTAAATATTTTAAATTAACTTGTCCGAGTTTCTTAAACTGCATAAATTTTTACATAGGGAAGAAATTTGTAAATGTTTTAAATTAACTTGTCCGAGTTGTCTTAAATTGAACAGGAACAATTAGATATTGAATAAACATATAATTTTCGTATGATATGGTGATTAATAGACTTCAATTAACATAGTGGATAATATGTCTTAAGCCGAATGTCTTTAAGAATAAATAGAGGGTGAATATATGTTTAAACTTAAGATTATGAAGAGATTAATGAACATTTTATATTACATTGTTTACGTGAATGTGTCCGAGTGTGTTTATTTTAACAGAAACACCTAGATATTGATTAAACTAATAAACTCTGTATAACTTTTGAGCTTAAACTTCAAATAGAAAACTTTATAAAACGTCAAACATAGATCATGATTAACCTCTAATAGCACAAAACTTCATAAAACTTCAAAAATATCATAAACCTCAAAGCAACATAAAACTTCATACAACACAGATAAACCTCAAACAACATAAAGCTTTGAGCAACATAGGGCTTAATGAATTCATCATCATCCCCTGTTTCTTTCCAGCTGCCGTCCTCTGCGGATTGTAAACTTCAAACGGCATCAAACTTCATTAAACTCCATACAAAATACTTCAGACACCAAACTTCATACAAAATAGACTTCAAACAACATCAAATATCATTAAAACTTCATACAACATAGACTTCAAGCAGCATCAAACTTTTTAAAAAATCAAACAGTATAAAACAATAAACTTCAAACACTGCAGAACATACTAACCCTCGGCATAGAGCTTAATGAACTTTCCTAAGCCTCTCAACGTGAACACTAAACGTCAAACTTAATAAGACGTCAAACTTAATAATTTCAAACAACACAGAGCATTAAAGGATTAAAAAACACATCAAACTTAATTAAACTTCAAACAGGCACAGAACTTAAACGTTTCTCTCCCGTTTCAGCCGCCGTCGTCCTGTGCAAAACGTAAACACCAAAAATAAAACTTACAAATTTCAAACAACAAAGACCATTACATTATAAAGAAAAAAGAAAGAAAAGAAAAAAAAAACATGCTACACCAAACTTAATAAAACTTGAAACAGCATAGAACTTATTAAACCTTTCTCTCCCGTTTCAGCCTTGCAGGATGGAAATACCAAACATCAAACTTAATAATTTCAAACAACAAAGACCATTACACAATAAAAAAGGGAAAACAAACATACCATGCTAAATAAAGCTTAATAAAACTTCAAACAGCACAACATCAAATCAAATCCTCAAACGATATAATTTTAAACAACTCAGAGCATAAACCATGAAAAAACACACCATACTAAATCAAACTTAATTAAACTTCAAACAGCATAGAACTTAAACGTTTTTCTCCCGTTCCAGCCGCCGCCGTCCCGTGCAAAACGTAAACACCAAACATAAAACTTACAAATTTCAAACAACAAAGACCATTACATTATAAAAGAAAAAGAAAAAAACATGGAACACCAAACTTACTAAAACTTGAAACAGCATAGAACTTATTAAACCTTTCTGTCCCGTTTCAGCCTTGCAGGATGGAAATACCAAACATCAAACTTAATAATTTCAAACAACAAAGACCATTACACAGTAACAAAGGGAAAACAAACATACCATGCTAAATAAAGCTTAATAAAACTTCAAACAGCACAACATCAAATCAAATCCTCAAACGATATAATTTTAAACAACTCAGAGCATAAACCATGAAAAAACACACCATACTAAATCAAACTTAATTAAACTTCAAACAGCATAGAACTTAAACGTTTTTCTCCCGTTCCAGCCGCCGCCGTCCCGTGCAAAACGTAAACACCAAACATAAAACTTACAAATTTCAAACAGCAAAGACCATTACAGCATCAAAACAACAACAGCAACAGCAAAG